AGGGAAAGGCTCACTAAAAGAAAGCCCAAACACATAGGAAAGAGGCAGCGTCGACGAAAGAGCCGAGCAAAATGGAGAGGGAGGGGGGGAGCGTCCAAGGAGGGCTGCGGCAGCGGCAAGCACAGCCAGCCGCCCGATCCGCCCAATCTCGGTCTAGTCCAGTCCAAATCGATCCCCACCTCTCCAGAGCGATAGTGATTAATTATAGGGTAGATAGAGTCCCCACGGCTCACCAATCGCCCAGCAAAGTAGAGCAAATGTACTATGGTCATCCAAGTCAGTGTAACAACGCCGCCGTCAGCAGCGCGGTGCCGCCATCTTCCTCTCCGTGCAGCTCCGTGCAGCGCGGGTAGTTCAAAGCCGCCGGGGATCGCGTAGTCCGGGGGTCGCTCTTCCTAATGTCTAGGTCCTCGTGTTCCTTGGGTTCCAGTCAACCCAGGGGCCCTTTTCTGATGATTTTGCAGCCGGTTTCAAAGACTCTCCAGCGCTTTTTCGCCAAATCGCTTCAGAGCGAAAAAGCCTGGCAGCCATTCGGGACTCACGCATGCGCTATTTGCGCCAGTTCTAATTGTTATCCCAAAAAGCAATTGGTTAAAGCAATCACATTAATTTATACAGGGAATTGTATTTTTATACTTTATAGAGGTACACAAACACATTAAACATCTTCCTGTATGATATGTTTAGAATCTACAGAACTTCAATTATTTATTATTGTTTATTATTAACTTCAATAACCACCATATTATAATGATATATTAGTGTCACTGGAGCATACCTTGTAAGCTTCTAGTACCAAATCTCCAAGATTTGCTGTCTCTGATTCTATTTGTTTTGCAACAGTTCCAGGTAGCAGAGGCAAAAGATCCTGTGAAAATATTAGTTTATGGTTATAATGCCAATGTATAGCTTGTCTCAAAGTAACAGAATTGTTTTATTTTTAAATATACCTTATACCAATGATATTGGCTTCCTTGGACTGCAAATATTACATTAATATTGTTGTCTATGAGCTTTTCAGAAAGTTGGCCAAGTGATGGGTACTCCTATAAATCAGAAAGAGGAGTCATAATGTGGCTTTTATAGATTATTGTAATTACCAATTCTAACATTTTACTTAAATAAACTAACGTATGTTCATATACACATGAATATAAATAGTTCTTTAAAAATTCCTATTCCTTTTAAAAATAAACTACATACACACATTTGATTTAGGACCAGGGCCCTTCATACAATTTACTAGCCACCTATGAACATGCAATAAAATTAAACCATCATACTGAACACTTACTAAAATCCAACCATCGCCAAAACCATTGCCAAGTAATGGAGAGGCTACAAAATTTCCTAGTAAGATAATTTTATACAAATATCATTTTCACATTAATAGCCCATAATGCAACTTAATATAATCTTTAACAAGATAAGATTTTTTCCTGTTTAGTAACAGAGATGAGTTACAAAAGTATTTATTTATCATCCCAAGTATAAGGGCCAAAGCTGGCAAGGCAAAAATCACAGAACTGTTGGGCAAACATTTACCAGATGCTTCTGGCGACTGTCAAAAGTCTGGCTAAGCAGCCATTTACTTGAAAAGGCAGAAGAAAAAGGTTTAAACTCTGGGAGACAGACTACATAAAAAGTTTGACTTTTTTGCACTGCGGTCGCCAAATCAGCTGTGCATACATGACTTTGTTCTTCTTTGCAATAAAGAGCCTAATTTAGCTGAATCTTGTGTAAGTCGTCTACTGTGTATGCCAAATTCTTAGTAGGAGGTAAAGTATATGGATAAGCAAGATTTAATGCCAAATCTGAGCATGGAGCTAGTCACCAAACCTTTTATGATTGAAAAGTTGGTGAACATATACTTGCATTAAAAAAAACATCATAGGTAGCCCTGGTCAATTTGCACGTTTTGATAAATTCTTACATGAATAAACGCTGGTATATTCTTTAAGCAGCATAAAGTTAACATGTTTTTTACAGATAAGAAAACACTCAATGCAAGTGCAAAATTTTGAACATACTTTCAGTCAGTTCTTTGGGACAAATAACAAATTCTAAATGTTCTCTAAAACCATCAAAAGGAGTTTGTCCAGAGTATTTTTTTTTACTACAATTATTTGCAAAGTTCTTCTGTCTCAGAAATATTTTTAGGTCTCCTTTCAAACTGTGTATGTTTCATATCTCTTTACAAATTTTAAATAATATTTAAATCTGGGGATTTTAAAGGCCATTCCAGCTTGCCACTGATGTCTTCCAGCTTTGTTTGAAAACTTCATACAGAATGGAGAAAATGAACATGGCTACAGACTAAATTTATGGTACTTGTTCAATAAATAGACCTTCGCAGTAGGTTTTCAATTTCTAGGTTTTTTAGGATATCTAAGTTTTGAAACATTTAGAAGCACACAATGAAATACTTTTAAATCGAAGAAATATGATGTTATAGTAATTAAAAATTCTGAACACTGTTTTTCTGAATGAACTGAGACTTTTAAAATAACACATGTACAAAAGAAACATGCGTAGTGGAAATGGAGTCACAAAAAAATCTTTACTATGGTAATTTTTTCCATTCTGGATATAAAAAGGCAAAACAAAAATTACAATGCAGAACCTAATGAGATATCAATTAATCAACAATCAACAACAACAAAAGGTGTGCAGTCACATTTTAACTTTAAAGAAAAATTTCAAAACAATGAAAACCTGAGTATTCTGCAAGTCAGGAAAGGGACAATCTTGTAAAACCATGCAAGTGCTTTAAGAGACATATTTTGCATTACGCTGGAAGATGCATAAATCATCTCTGTTTGCATCATCAAAGCAACTCTTTTTCTAAGCTTGTACAACTTTAGGAATTGCTTCTAGAGCTTCCTGTATGCATGTCAAAGCTTAATCACTTCAATTTTATTGCAAAGTGATATATTTGTGGGGGGGGGGAGGAGAGAATGTTTTCTTCAGTTTTTCATATTTCAATAACAGTATAAAGCCAATTTTCAATTTTAATAGTCCTAATATCTAAGAGACTCTATATTTTTCTTGCGAGTATGACCAAGAATAAATGTATTAGGTATTCTCTCTGATCAATTAAAACCATGAAATAATTTGAATAAGTTCCTTTGAGCAGAAGTTCATATCTCTCAGAACAAAAATATTTCTAATGTTTTAGGAATTAGTCCAAAAGTAACATTGCATTATGAAGTATACCTTACCATACTGTTTGCTTTGATATACACATTCTCTTTCAAATGACATTTTCCATCATTTGGAATTACTATCCCTGCTAATTTACTGTCAAGAGCCAAATGAGATGTCTGATCAGTCATCATGAGAAGCAGCCGTTTTGCTTCTTTACGCCAACCAATATGGCTCTGCAATAAATAAAGGAATGTAATATATGTAGTTTAATTTACTTTAGTTTACTTTATTGTCATTACATCTCGTGCAACAAAATTAAATGCCATCTTCAGTGTACATTACAAGTATAAAAATAAAACATAAATACACATCCTTCACATTCTATAGAGTTGACTTGAAAACCCGATATTGCATTAAAATGGAATTATATGGTAGAATTCAATGTAGTTACTGCCCTGGGATAGAAGCTGTTTTGGGGCTTGTTTTTATTATCCTGTACCATCTGCCATGTGGTAATAGTTGAAAAAAAGGGTGCCCAGGATGAGATGGTTCTTTAAGAATTTTTTGAACTTTCTTAAGGCAGTGGGACCTATAAAGTTCTTCCAAGGAGAGGGTAACCAATGATCCTCTGGGCAATGATGTTAACCCTCTGGAGTGCTGTCCTATCTGCCACTTGCAATTAGTAAACTATACACAGGTGCAGTAAGTTAAAATACTCTCTATAGTGCAGCAGTAGAAGATCACCAGCAATTTTTCATTCAGTTGTTGTTTCCTGAGAAGTCTCAGGTAGTATAATTTCTGCTAGGCCCTTTTGACCAGTGCTGCAATGTAAGTGTCTCAGGTCATGTCCTCTTTTATAGCACTCAACAATTTAAAACTGGCCACTTGCTCCTCTCAGTCTCCATTGATAATCATGTCGGATCTATTCCTTCTATAGTCTACTATAAGCTTCTTGATCTAATTGGTGTTAAGGACCAAGTTATGTCTCCACACCACAAAAGCAACAGGTTCACCTCATCTCGATAGGCAGACTCATCCCCCTCCCCCCTGGAAATGAGTCCCACTACCGGGACTCATTGTATCATCTGAAAATTTAATAATAGTATTACTGGCATGAGTGGGAATGCAGTCATGCACATAAAGAGTATAGAGTAACGGACTCAACATGCAACCCTGTGAGGTACCAATGTTAAGAATAAGGGCTGAGGACAGGAAATCCATGATCCAAAGGCAGATTGAATAAGAAAGTCCAAGATCCATAAGACACTAGTCTATGTGGAAGTATTGTGTTAAATGCAGATCTAAAATCTACAAAAAGCTACCTCACATAGTTCCCTCCTTCCCCGTTCCAAATGAGTTAGAGCAGTGTGAAGAGTGATGGCTATAGCATCCTCTGTAGATCTAATTTGTTCTGTATGCAAACTGGTGTTTATCAAATGTATGCGGAAAACCAGAAATGATGTGCTGGCAGACCAATTTCTCAAAGCACTTCATGATAATAGAAGTAAGTGTCACTGATCTCTAATCAAAATGTAAGGGAAAATACAAGAGTTAAGAAATATTGTACTGCTTTAAAAAAAACCATTTGTAAATTCCATTATGACAGGCACATCTGGAATTCTGTGGGCACTATGGTCATGGGGAATGAATATGTCCAACTCACAAAAATGGCTGAAAAAAATTGAAATGGCCTATAATTAAACAAAAATACCACACTAACCATAGCAAGTGCCAAGGGAGAAGGTCACATGGTTGACCAGAAGCTCCACTATAGTGATTCAGGACAATTTAAAAGGGTTTAAATCAAGAATCTGAAACATTGCTGGTTGTATCAAATCTTTCATTTCAAGGACAATTTATTTGTATCCAAAGTTTCACTGTAAATATATCCCCAAAAGTATTTTGATGGCTATAGAAGGCAAAATGGGATTATAAATACATGAAAGAATGTAAACCTATACATGTTATATGTCATTTAATATAACATTACTGTCAACTTGTAAAGTGTTTCCATGACTTTTATCAAATTGACATGGGAGGAAGAATTCCATACATACCTTTGGCCAGAGTTGGATCTCAGGTTTCTACAGCAGGTGTGTGAAGCGCAAAGTTCACACCTGCTGCAGCACTTTGTTGGTGGATATGATTTATGACACAGACTGAGGGAAGGGGAGACACAGGGGTAAGGTTCAGAGACCATTAAGTGGAAATCAGTTTCGGCTCTGCAGAAGAGCATGCCAAAATGTTGCTCCTCATAAATGACTGGATTTCTTTTGAACTTTGTCTCGAGGCTTGTAAACTAATTAGGGCATCCTTTGGAAACTTCCCAATTACAACATTACAAGAATAAATCATCCCCAAAAGAGAAAAATAAAATGTCAAATTATCTGTTATTGCTTACCTGACAAACCACTGCCTGAAGCATAGCATCAAAGCCTCCTTCGGGTGTATCAATATTTCCAGATATTTTCTGCTTATTAATTACGCTTCTGAATTCTGATATTTTGTCAGTCAATGATAAAACATGAATAAAACCATGAGGTGGCATACAATCAAGTTCATAATCACTGTTTGGATGAAAGAATAGTAACTTGTAACTCTCACAGAAATTTTTTTAAAACTAGTTGCATATGGCAATGTAGCACAGCAAATAGATATTTAAAACATTATACTGATAACCTCAAGGCTTTATAAACTGAGAGAGGAATTATCTTTGCTCTTCACTGGTAAGCTTTTATTTAACAAGTCTTCCTTTAATTCAGGTTTCTCACTATGACTGGTTATATCAGCATAGTTCAACAACTATTTTTTGGGATGTGCTATCCTAAGGATATGAAAGAGTGTAAGTGTCAATTATTTACATTTGGTGGCAAAGTTTCTATAAATATCAAGAAGGGGACAATTTTAAAAACATCTCTATTTTTTCTATCACTGAATGTGTACAGTATAGCCACATAAAATTGTGACTTTAAGGAGTAAGCTGGTCTCATAAATCTACCTCTAATTTTCTGCCTAAGAATTAGAATTTAGAATTTAGAATTTA